AGACAAAAACAAAAGAGATATATAAACACAACAACAAATTAGTCATAAGAAACAAGAAACAATAGAAAATGCTAGAACTAAACCTACAACAGCAGAACAAGCAGAGAAACAAATAGCAGCAATATATATAGAATTAAGATAATATAGAGCAAAAAGAATTAAATATACAGAACTTGCACTTAGTAAAAAAAATGATACATTATATTAAGAGGTGATATAGCTAGAAATCGATCCAACAAAACACATTCTATTAGATAAAGTAACCAGTACTACAGTCAGACTCCCCTAAATGCACCCTCCCTAAATGCAGCACTTCTCTAAATGCACGACAGATACTCAGGCCCACAACGGGCCTTATAGATAAATGCACATTCTATATTCTGTAAATGCATGCTATTTTTTTAGCTCCTCTATATTAAACTCCCTTCATAAATGCACGCACATAACCACCGTCCAATCATAATTTAGTATTTATAAAATATTACATATACTGTATACAATTTTGGTAAATTGACTATACATCTAATATTAGTTTATGAACTTGGTATGAAAATAAATTACATTTTTATTTTTATTGTTATTTATGTTAAATTATATTCTTTGACTATTAAAATGATGTCAATATGAATTAAATAAATAATTTATCTCAAGTACATAGCTAGCTAGCTTGAATATAATAAAATTCTAGATCAAATATAATATCATTATAGGGTTCACAAGCAGTTTACTTGATTTAATTTGTTAATGATCTGAATATTACTCAACAATTATAGTCAAATAGAATAACAATTATTTTAAATATCCATTGTAAAAAATATAGCTTTTAGTCCCAATTAATTAAACATTTGCTTTTGACAAAAGGAATAAACGTACCCTATCTAAACTTAATCTCACACCTGTCACTTAACTACCAACGTTACAAATATCTCACAGTTTGGATCAGATATGTTTCTTCTTATTACTTTTGACCAATTGAATGAGTTATACATAGTATAGAAACTATTTTGGCATTGCTGAAAGTATTTAGGCATTGATTTTAATATAAAATATTTGAGTTATTTTGAAAATAACTTAGCAATTTTATGTTAAAAACCAATGCTGAAATACTTTCAGCAATGTCTAAATAGTTTCTACGCTATATACAAGTAAGGTGCTTGATAATCCTCATATCTTGCATCAATGAAAAAGCCTGATTACCTTTATTTCGTCCATTGATACTTGTAATTGATATCTGTAAAGGGGAATTGATAGTAGTTAGACAATGCTAGATAGATTTCTATTATTACAACATAGCATGAAGCAGATAGCAATCTTATTAACAGATAAAAGTTAAACTAGCGTATGATTGATAAAATCTTGAGCAACTATATATAAGTGCTATCAAGGGAAAACTTGCTATCAGGCTATCAATTATAATTTTACCAGACACGATTATATCTAGTACAAATATAATTAAAAGCCCAATGGCAGGTTTTCCTATAATAGTACTTATATGGCCATTATGCATGACATTAGTTCTTAATGGTACCATATATATTAGCATTGTTCATGTTCTTAATAGTACCATATATATTAGCATTGTTCACATTCTTAATGGTACCATATATATTAGCATTGTTCACAAATTAGGGTATCCTTAATTTTGCAATACATAAATCAGCTCACGCCAAAAGTACTTTTTGTATCATATGTAATTTAAAAAGTAATCTAAAATGCAGTTATCTTATAGGAATAATGCATAAAAATTTTTTAGATAAGCCAAAATCATGCACCACAGAACTCGGAATATCTATTCCAATATGATAGCTTTTTAGACAAATAGTACCTTATAATTATAAAAAAAATATATATTTAAAGTGCCTTTAAAGAAATCAATAAAATAAATCTTTATAGATTATCATAACGATAGCAATATGTCTTCTAGCAAGCGAAAAAATAAAACTACTCTTAATAATAAACAAAGAAAGGATATTATTGATCATAAAAATAAAAATCTTAATATCAGCAATATTGATCTTGTTGAGTGGATAAAGAAAGAATTTAACCTTGAGGTTCATCCAACCACCATTGGGCGTTTAATAAAAAATAAAGAAGATATTGGAAATAATCTTTCTACAAAAAGACAAAGAATAGTTCAATATCCAGATCTTGAGAATACATTATATAAATAGATTTTGCAAAACCAAAACCAAATCATTTTAAGTGATTCCATCCTAATTGAAAAAGCAAAAAAATTTGCTAAATTATTAAAAATACCAGATAGTAATCTTAAATTTTCACATGGATGATTATATAAATTTAAAAAAAGGCACGAGATAGGGCAAATAAAAAAGCACAGCGAAGATGCTTCTGTAGATGATAATATCATTGCAGATGCTATACCTAAATTAAGAGAAGTGTTAAAGGAATATAATCTAAAGAATATTTATAACATGGATGAAACGAGCTTGTTTTATCAGTAATAATAAATTTTATTTCCTATTTTAACATTGTTAAATCACACCAGTAGTGTTTAATACCACAGTTTCTATATTTCAAAAACTGTCTAAAATAACTAAGGCTGAATGTATTAAGTAACAATATCTAGCATCCCAAAAAACCTTGCCCAAACTTTTTTTTAACTTTAATTTTTAATCTATAACCTCTAATTTTAAACTATAACCTTAAATATTGACAATAAAAAATTATGGTGTTTAACACTACTGGTGCAATTTATAATAATTGTTCCATTTTACTAATTGTTTTTATAAGAATTTACTATACGGTACTAACTATAGTACCCTTGCTATAATACCCTATAAAAAGAATTAGGTATATTTCTTAGGGTCACAATTCAGAAAATTGAAAAAGACCCGGGTATAATTTTAGATATTTAGTATATTATAGCTGTTCTCATAAATTCTGAGACAACTGATAAAAATCATTTAGACCGAATCTGATAAGTTTTTGAATTGTTATCAGAATTACCATAATGTCGAAAATCTAATGTCGATAATACCGAATTCAAAACTTATCAAATTCGGCCTAAATGATTTTTTATCAGTTGTCCCAGAATTTATGAAAACAGCTATAATCTTACTAAAAAATTATATAAAGAACAGCCTCGTATAGGTATCCTCTTCGTAATTAGTACCTATTCAAGAGATTTAATAGTTTCTGGAATAGTATCCCAGGGACTATACAGTACTATACAGTACATATTCTTGATAAGTTAAATTTAGTAAAAAAATAACCTTTGTTTGTCAATTAGTAAAACAGGAAAATAATATACTTATTCCCTGTTATAAGAAATAATAATCAATTATTTTTCTAAAAATTTTTTTTTTAACTCCCATCAAAGTTAAAAGAATTCAGAAATATAATTAACTGTTATTTCCTTATAGCAGAGATATAAAGTTTACTAATACTATACTTAGCTTATAATCCTGTTCTTTTAGTCTTGAACCAGATACCACGCTTGCTACTGTTCATCTTAAAGATAAAAAAAAAAGATAAGGAAAGGTTGACCGTGGCACTTTGTGCCAATGCTGATGGATCTGATAAAATAAAACTATTTGTAATTGGTAAATCTCCAAATCCACATTGCTTTAAAAATATCAAACGTAATAAGCTTGGTGTAACATACAGAGCAAGTAAAAAGGCCTGGATGACAACTGTATTATTACAATTGTAGCTTAAAGAGTTTGACAAAAAGATGGCTGGCCATAAGGTAATTCTTCTAGTAGATAACGCAAAATGCCATTCTTTCAGTAATCTGAATCTCTGTAATACAACCGTTCATTATCTCTCTCCAAATACAACATTTCATATTCAACCTCTGGATGTTGGCATTATTATATCCTTTAAGCATTGATACCGAAGTTACTTCATAAAATGGCTTCTTGATCAATATGAATCTAAAAAAGATGACAAATTGAATGTTCTTGATGCTATAAAATTTATTGCCTGAATATGGAGAGAAGTATCATCAGAAACGGTAAGTAATTGCTTTAGGCATACAAAAATCCATCCAATTACACAAAATAATGAAGAACTTGTCCTTGATAATAATAATAATAATAATAACAATAATAATAATAATAATAATAATAATAATGATGATAATGATGATGAATTGATGAAAGAAATGTATGCTGACATCGAAGCACTCTGTTTCTGAAACATAATGGACCTTGAAGAATATATCAATTACCCAGAAGAGAAAAAAACAAATGAAGTATTGAATGACAAAGAAATTTTGGCCCTTGTTACCAACCTGAAACCTGAAAAAAGTAATGATGAAGAGGATAAGAATAAAAGTGATAAAGAAGAGGATGATAGTGCAGAAATACACCAAATTACTCACCACGAAGCCTTAAGTGCTGTAGAAGTGCTTGAACACTATCTTATGCAACAAGATGTTAGTAAGGCAGCCCGGTCAAATCATGATCAAGCTTTGTCAAATCTGCAAAAAGAAATAAGGAAACTTCGAAATTCATCTTTCAAGCAAGTGAATATTAAAGCCTTTTTTGAATTGGCTGATTAATCGTGCAGCAAAAAAATTAAACTAAATAAATTTAAGAATAGTCTCTTTAGACTAAAAGACAAACTAACAAAACATAAATTAACTAAACATTTATAACTTGATCAAAAGCAAACAAACAATATAATTACTCATATATTTAATATTAAATAAACCTAGTTATATGAAGGAATTATTAGTTAAGTATCGTTCACAAAAAAAAAAAAAAAAAAAAAGGTTAAATTGTTTATCTTGTGATCTTGCTCTACGTACTGTACAGAGTAGTTAACTTTTGTTAAATTTAAAAAAAAAAAAGGTTAAATTGCTTATCTTGTGATCTTGCTCTATGTACTGCACAGAGTAGTTAACTTTTGTTAAATTTAAAAAAAAAAAAGGTTAAATTGCTTATCTTGTGATCTTGTTCTACATACTGCACAGAGTAGTTAACTTTTGTTAAATTTAAAAAAAAAAAACTGTAAAACTCTAAAACGAAGAATACTGCTTATAAAAAGTTCAACTATTTGAGTATTGCTCTTCGGTAATTAGTAATCTGTCTCTTAAACCATTTTACAGGCAAATTTGCCTGCAAGTTGAACTTTCTCGACAAAACATAATTTAAAAGTATATGGCATCATAAAGGCTAAATAGTTTATTCAAGAGCTGT